TTCTTTCTCATTCATTTCGGTGTGATGTTTTACGTTCCGTTGTGTAGATGTTGTTTTTTATGTGCTCGGCAACCGCATGAGTTTTGAAGCCTCGAGAGCTCGTTTACATACTATATTCTACGCTTCGCAATCGAGGAAGGAAATGAAAAAGTTGCAGAGACGAAATACAAAGGCTAAGCGCCATTTTTTCTTCTTTTTTTTTCTTGAAGAACATTCTTTTTAATGCGTAAGGAGCACAACGTCATATCCTTGATACAGTCGAATTGATGGCATTTCCATCCAGCTATTGCAAGCAAGGATGATTCTGTTGTTGTTCTTTTCTTCTCGCCTCAAATTCTTGGTTTTTATTGTGTCGATAAACTCGGATCCAACATCATAACAAAGTGTATAATATATGAGAAGAGCTTGAGAATTTCGTTAGACGCTGACAAAATCATTTGATGTTTTGCTGTCGGTATCTAAAACTCAATTTCAAAAGTGTATCTTTGCGTGCATTTCGTTAAATCTCTGTAATCATGATGTTGCTGTTTGAATCTCTGTGGTGCTCTGGTTTCTGTGTTTTCTATTTGCCTTTTTGATATGTGCACATCACATGCAAAAAAATGGCAAGAAGACGAGGAGAGAGAGAGAGAGAGAGAGAGAGAGAGAGAGAGAGAGAGAGAGAGAGAGAGAGAGAGAGATAGAGAGACAGACAGCGAAGAGGAGTGACGGATCCAAAGAAATCGAAGTGATAGCTCGATTCATCTATCTCACTTTCTGGTTTGCAATGTGCCCAACGGTGAAGAACATTTGTGTTTAGATCTCATCATTTCTACCATAAAGGAAAAGAAAGTGTGTGCGTTATCTGGCGTAAAAAGTGATAAAATGGCAGTGAAACTATGGATGTGTGCTTTGAAAACGAGCTTGTGCTTCAAGTAAATTACATGAAATGCGAGCGATAGAGAGAACGAAACACTTAGAGCGAAAACGTTTCTTTTTCTCTGTGTGTTTTTTTTTTCTTCTCTATTTTCCATAAATGATTTTCCTTTTCGTTGTTCAACTTTAAGTCACGAACAGTCGTTCGTATTGGGCGCCATAAACCCATCCACACACTTGTATGCAATCAAGTGTATTCGAGTGAGAAATAAAAAGCGAGAAAGAAAGAGAAAACGAGTGGCTACGCACTTATTCATTGAAAACGGATACAAAGTAGATGGCATGAACAGATTGTGTGTTTTTTTTCTCTTCTGTCAGGGCCGCATAAACTGAAAAGGACTATCGAATTAATTGTAGGCCATTTGTTTCATCCGAATCATACATTTTTCACTATATGAATTCGTGCGTATTGAATGATTTGCTGGAAAAACTAATTTCTCGTCAGTGTTTCTCCTTTTCATTTATTATCCTTTTTTTTGTTATCAAATAACTCAAGGATTTTCCGCTTGTTACGTGTGTTCGCATCCTGTTCGCTTAAGTATTTTTCGATGTATCCATTTATTCTTCGCCACTGATTAAGTGTAGCGATTCCAGTGATTTCTTGGGTCTTTTCTTTCTCATTCACTTCATGTTGTGTTTGTATGCTCGTATCTTATTTTTCAAGTCTTGCTTTCCTCTCTTCGTTTCGTTGTGCCAAAAACCAAATCAATCGACAAATCATGTCTTTGTGCCGTCACGGCTCTCGTTAAGATGGAACACTTGAAGTATTCGATCATCTTTTTTTTTGGCTTCATGTTTTGTGAATAATATTCAAATAATAAAGTTTCCGGCGAAGCAAAAAAGGGGGATTGGAGTCGATTCAGCCTTTTTGTTCCTTTTTTATTTTACGTGCCCTGACAATAGCAATTATCCGTTGCTCATCAATTATGTAAATACAGGCAAACTTTGAAGACATAGAAAAAACCACAACAACAACAACAACAACAGTGCATTGGTTTGGATTGGATTGGGTTTTCTTTCCTCAATGATGATCCTTCCACGTAGTTTCATATAAATTTTGTTGTTTTTACGAGTGAAAGCATACTCATTTTTAACACCGAATGCCAACGACACGCAAAAACTGTAGTAATGAAAGCAAAAAAAGATGCCATAATGTTCAAACATTCTCATAAATTCACTGGCAAATGCGGAAAAATGAATAACTCTTGTACAGAGAGCACATCACGAGCACTGTGTGGATTTTTTTTCCACTCTTTGATATATGATTGCACGATTCGCCAGGAGCAAAGCAGAAAAAAAACAAGTAACTAGAACTATGCAATCAAAATTACAGTCTTTTTTCTCTCCTCGCTCTATTGTTGCATTAGTAACATAGGAAAATTGTGACTCGGGTGAGCATATACACTCCGATCGCGTTTCATATTCGTTTGGGTGAGTGAATGAATTTGGTCGTTATGCTGTTGTTGTACATTCCCTTTTCATTTTTCAGTTGTCCATGGAATTTAGAGTGGTAATAAATGATCGAAAACGTTTAGAATATTTCAACTGAAGGATAATGGAGCACGAATACATATGTCATACACTGGGAAAAAAATGGACCAACGAACGAATGAACGAGAGACACTAAGATGGTTTTAACATCATAATTTGAAGATTCCGTGTGAATTTTATTGAATAACACAAACCAAAAGAAAAACATCGAATAGGAATGAATGCGATGGGGAAACAACAGTGTATTGTTGAGACGACTCGTTTTCATATTGAATTCAACTGATCTGAATTGAATTACTGATTTCATAAAAATTGCAAACACAAACTTTGTGTATATTGAGTCGAGCGAAATGAAAAAGTGAAGCAACAAATATTGAAGAATGGAATTTACATAGCAAACGAACTCGGAGCAATGCGGAGACGATGTAAAAGATCTGTTGCCGCCATTCTGTGTGTGTATGTTTTTCTTCCTCTCTCTTCTTCTTCCTCTTGCATTTCGTTTGTTGTTTGATTGGAATGTTTTGTTTAGGCTTCGTGTGTTTATGGATATTCTCCAGAAAGAAAGAAAAACAGAGTTTTACATTCGCATCGAATTCCCTCGAAAGATACAACAATGCTGACTTTGTTCATTTTGCTGATTCGTTGTCAGGCATTTCAATTTATACGTCGTTCAATTCGCATTGGAGGCATTTGGACACTATGAATCGCAATCATTGTTTGCTGCGATGCAGATCCAGCTCCATTACACGAACAAAAAATATTTTCATCCATCGTACCATCATAGTCATTGCTTGAATGCGTCGCGCGCACACATACAAGCGCAAACACACGGCGTTCGTGTGTAGCATGCACGTACGCAAACATGGAACGTCACATCGCATCGACAACAAACTCCGGAGAATGTGGATAGTTGGATGGTGCTATGCTGTGTATAACGTGTACACACATGCTCAAAACGTTTTTCGCTTTTTCTTACTTATCACTCTCTCGCCGTCTCTGTCGAACGCACATTTCCTGGCTATACCATCCAGAAAGGTACACACACACACACATACAACGCATGAAATACACGCGTACCGCACAGCCACCGACTAGACTAAGACTCGCATATACCCAAACTGAAAAAAATATAAACTGAGCTTCATCGATTCATGCACACGCTGCCGCAAATAACAACTTCACTAGCATCGCAGAGACGTTTTTTCCCTTTGTTTTGTATTTTTGGTTTAGCTTGACTGCTGGTGTTGCGTTCACATCATGAATATTTTCATTCGTTTCATTCCCATGCGAAAAATGCTCCTCTACTGGATGTTTCGTGCGTTTCAATTTGGACGGAATCGTGTGTTTGGGCCCTTTTTTTTTCTTTTCATATGCCATAGTATAGACTAGAAGTAGTGGTTCGCTTAACCCAAACGCAGCCACAATTCAGACAAAGGACATGGTATTGACTGTTGGTAGTGGTAGTACTGCTGTTGCCGTGAAGCAGCAACCGCTGTGTGATGGCTTGACGAAGATTTCATGCAGTCACAAGAATGCTGCGAAAACCCGTAAAAACGTAATGAAAACGATTGCTCAATAGAATGTTCACTATTTCATTCGGTTCACTCACTCACTCACTCACTCACTCAGCTGCGGCGCGTTACTTATTTTCCCATCCGTAAATCCATGGTTTTTTTTCTTATTATTGCGTCACCAATACTAAATCGCTCTTCACTATTCCCTATTCAATTTCCGAGAACGTTAAACATTCGTTCAGCAGAAAAACCATCCATCGGAGAGGTAGCGAACGAAAAGTGAGACGCACAAGTAAGTGAGAGGATGGAAACGGAAGAGTCCAAATGAAAGAGAAACACGGTCCAATGTCATTATGTACGTGGTGGAAAATATTCTCGCATAACAACAATCGGGACAAATGGTTGGCAATAGAAACCGTCATAATTATACGTACAGATCAACAACAAACAAAATACCGAAGACGTTCGTGGAGTTGCGTTCATGTTGTTTCGAGAGAGTGTACGAAAAGCGATTTCCACGTTTCGTTCTGGCATTTTGGACACTGACGCCAAATCCATACACACTAACACAAACCCCATTCTCAGTGTCAGCGGCACCATCAGTGAAATGGTTTCCTTCTTTTGATGGAATTTTCGACAAAACATTTACCCTCTTTTATTAGCATTCGAATCGTATTTTATTCAAATACACATAGACTTGTTCACTCCTTCGTTCGATATCCATTTGTGCTGCTTTGTGACGCACAAACAGTTGAAATTGTCGACGACGACGACGACGATGGAAAAGGTCGATATTTCGAATTGATATTGGATATTCGTAGCACGGGTAAAAAAATTTTTGGCACCTTTAGTCATTCTATTCGCGAGTATTTACACATTTTTCGATAAGCGCAAGTACGGAGAATTGTGTCGTTTGTCTTTGTGCATTTGTCGATGTTTAGTAGTCTGGTGTTGATCGGAGCACATTTCACTTCTCTCTCACACACACACACATACACACGATTCATCGTCGTCGTTGTTGTTGTTGTTGTTTTATTGTGCAAATAAAAGTGAGTTTTTATTTGTGTTGGAAGTTCTTACCTTAGATTTGGAACTGCGTTGGCCGCCTGCATCGGTGGTGGCACTGTGTACGGAAATGGCAATTTTGCCGCTACGGCTGGATTTTCAAACAACATTTTTATCGCTTTGTCCTGCTCTGACTCCCAAATGATGATTATTGTATCGCTTGCTGTGTGTGTTGTGTATTTTTTGTTGTTGTTCTCTCGATTGCTTCGTCTATTTCGTGTTTCAGAAATGAATTTTTTTCTCCTGATTTGAACACGAAACACGTTTTTGCTTCAGCAAAATTTAATTGAAAACGTTTCGATTCTAATTCGCTTTATAACACCGAATTTGAATTTAATCACTGGTCGCTCGTTTCAGTTGGGATAAACAATGGAATTTCCACTCAAGTTATTTTTTTTTAACTTTTTCTTCTCTTTTTTTCCCTTCTTTTCTGTAATTGAATTTAATTTTCGATCAAAAATTATGACGTACACTTGCTAGAATTGTTGTTACTTTGTTCAAACTCGGTCGATACTTTCGGTTTTGTTTGCACGTGGTTTATGACAATTTATAATCACGAGAATAACTTTGGCAAACACAAGCAAATGGAAATTCACAATAATTTAACAAACACTGCTGTTGCGTTGAATGTGAGCGATATTTTGTCTCGCAGAGTATGAAGTTTGCATGCAGCAATAGAGAGGCAGAGACAAGTACAAATCTCAACGAACATAGAAAAAAAACGAGAAAAATTTTCGATTCGATTTATGTTCAGGAATGTATTTGATGGATGCACCACATGTGAATTATATCTCAATTCAAACGAAAGAAAAAATGAACAACACAAAGTCTCTTCTTCAGTGTGATGTTGTTTCAAATGTAGGAAAATTTTTACTTCGATTTTATTTTATGGTTTTATTTCTCTTCTTCTTCACTTTAAACACTGTGTATACGTTCGTGTTCGACAAATGATCTTTTCTCTGCGTTGGAACAATGAATTGCAATAGTTTTCGTCTTTTAGCTTGTTGTCGATTCTTCCTCTCTCTCTCTCTCTCTTTTCCTTTTCAACACCGTATTTCTGTGCTATACGAACGTTTTCTTTTCTCTCTGTCGTTTTTGTTTTGTGTTCTTCTATGCGTTTTGTTTTCTTCAATTCCTTCGTCGGCTTACAATTCTTACTCTCTGTCTCTGTTTTATCCGTTTTCGCGTTGTTCCTTGCTCTTTGTAACTGGTGCGATTTTCAGCCAAGACGCGCTACACTAAAAAAACACACTATAGAACATCGAATGATATATTCACAGAAGAAAACACATCGATTGTAGTAGATGTTCTCTCGGGACAAAGGGTTTTTGGTTCTTTGTCGTATTTCGTAGCACTTAGATGAAATCCAAATTTAAAAAAAAAACACACGACGTCGTATCTCACAACCACAATGGATTTTTGTCGGATTAATTACGAGAATTGATGTTTGCTTTTTTTCTCTTCTACTTGGCTACACGCTACTGGTAATGGAAACGATTAAACGAAGTTCCCTTTGCTTTAGTTTCTCAATTTTGAGTTGATTCGTTTCACTAACATGTATTCAAACAAAATCCCTTAGATGATTTCCGTATCTTTCGTTTACCAACAGAAAAAAAAATCGATGTTAAACGATCCGTGTTAGCATTTTCACAAGTTGTTGTTAAAAATGAATCGTTTCCCGTTCAATGGAAATTTCTTTCTCTCTCTCTTAAAAAAACGTTGTTATTTAAACATAAAAAACTAAATCACTAGTTTTTGCGCTCCGTTTAGATTTGCTCCGGATACTTTGCTTCTTCTTTTCTTGGCGAAGAAAAATGATTGGTTATGCCAGTGAAATAATATTCAACAAACGGTATGAATTTCGTAAATGCTTTCGCTTCCAAACAATACTCACTATGCAACGGCTGAAACCGGACTGAAGTATGTGTTTGTGTTGAGGCATCGCATTGTGTAGCGTTGAATTGTGTACGGCTCCACATGAACGCACGGTATCACATCGTTGCTCTTGCTCAGACGCTCACATACACACATTATTTCTCATAGTGACGCTTCCCTTGGTTGTCTTATTTGCGCGTATCGATTTGTTTTGTATTGAATGTTTGTATGAGCGAGAGCAGCACAAGTTGGTGCTGAAAATAGATTCGACGAGAGAGAAAGACGGAGAGAGAGAGTGTGTGTAATTTTTGGTGTTTATGTTTGTACGCGAGAGACTTTGGTATACAAACTTTTTTGGCGTCGCATGTTCTCATCGGAACGCAACGGCGGAACGACAGAGGCAACACTGCATAAACACATGAAGAACGCTCTGACTCGTGCGACAGCTGCCGCGATTTCATGCTATACCAATTCTATGTTTGTGTGTTTCGCTCTCAACGCGCTTGCAATGCTCACCGCTGCGAGCGCTGTTTGTACGTAATTGTTTCTTTATTCAGCTACATTCAGCGCCCATTTTGAATCTATCTTCGATTTTGCTTTTCGATACGAACGGGAAAAAGGTGAAGCGAAAATGTTCCGTCTTTGAGATTTATTTGTTGCAAAATTTGCATCTAACATTCTTAATCATGTATCAAATTCAATTGACCCTTAACACCGACCGAATCAATACAAATTCACTCTACTGATTTGCATTAGCACAGGATATGTTACGCCTTAAATGAGTCTCGCCTCATCCGCTCGTACCTGCCGTTGCTAATAATACCCAAAGAGTTGCATGTTCGATACAATCATAATTGAAAATTACATGCCTAGGTTGTGTACTCCGTTTAGTCATGCATTTGGTGACATTTTTTTCTATATCGTTTTTTTTTCATTTCACAGCCGTTGCTGTTGTCGCTACGAAGCGTTATCTAAAATCAGGCCCATGTATTTTGAACACTTTAGTTCTTTTCCGTCTGTTTGTGCTTCATGCATCACGTGAGATATGGAAATTGTGGCGTCGAAGAATGTTGGTCAATTTTTTCTCATTGAATTAGCCAATGGCTCCATTTATGAAGCCGTATATGAAGACTCAATCAAAAATGGGTAATGAGTGTCCATTTTTAATCCAATTTAGAAGAACACTATAATTGGATTTGTGCTCATGAAGTGTACACACGCAGTCCATACATTTAAACATTTCACTCACAATGTCCAACAATCTAAATTCGAGGTTTTTTTTTTCGTTGTGCACGGTGATTTGTTTGTGTGAGAGTGAGATTATGTCGGTCACGATATTCCATTTTCATCGTACATTTCCCGTATTAAATACAACCATCAATTTGTTGCGCCATGTTCGGGCGATTAAAAATTTGTGTAAACAATTTGCACATTGCATCCATCGCGTTTTGTTGTTGCACACGCGCTGATTTGCATCGATATTTAGCGCCAATTAGTTTCATGTAAAAGGAAATTAAGACCCAACAAAAGACCAATATAAATATTCTTTCTTTTGAGCAACTTCTAAATTTTCTCAAACCATTTTTTTTTGCTTGGCCATTCAGAAAACACATTCATAATTTTAAATTACAAGGTTATGAATGCGAAGAGAAAAATAATGCAAGAAAAAATATGTATTCACCACTTGAAAATTTATCGTGTCTGCAGCCACGTAATTTACTTGAAGTGCAAGGAATTTTAAATGTGGCGCTCATGAACCATAAGAAATTTTCTTTTTTCCATGCGAAGCGAGAGCGAGAAGCCTTAACAAGTTTGTGTGCTGTTGACATTAAATAATGAACGAGAAACCATTATGAGCAGCGAATTAACAAAATGAATGAACCCCTTATATTTTTCTGTATTTTTGCATTAGAACGTGCATTCTCACACAGAAAAGTGTTCGGTTTGGGTTCGGGTTGGCGTTTCGCAAAAGCGGAAAATTGTGTGGAAATAAGAAAATAATTTCGTGACATTTGGAAACATGTCATGCTCTTTGGGAATCTGAAAATATAATTAGCAAATGATTTTACCATGAATGAGACACACAAATCGCACGTACACACTGTATACGACTGCTGCTGATTCTGTCGCATGACGAAATAGCGCAAAAAGTTACGAACTTTTTCACTTGAGAATTTTATTCGCTGAAGATCGAAGCGCTTAAGAAAATAGTTCCTGCTTCGTTGAGCTTGTTCTATTTCTCTCCATCACAGGATACATGCATGGAATGACACAAGTCTTGGACTGTGCAGCAGCAACAGTAGCAGACAAAAGAGAGGGAACAATGGTAGAACAATTTATTTTTTTATATCATTCAATTTTATTTGTCAGCAAAAATTGCGCTGGAAGAATCTATTTCAATTGTCACATTCTTTTCGATATTATTCGGTTGCTATTCAGTATAGTCCATCGCAACCAATTGCTTCTTTTATGCATTTAAACGTGTTGACTGTGTGCGTACGCTTCTACATATAAATCTGCATGTGCGAACTTGCTCACAAAAATACCCAGAATGAATATGTATAAAGAGTTGAAATGCTGACTAGATTCTCATTCCGCTCTTTCATCTACTAATTCTCGTAGTTGCAATGGAATGAAACCTAACAATGAAAAAAAGGAATGGTAATTTTACTTTTGAGATAAAATCGGTTTAACTTCAGACAATAGTTTATATGAACTGCTTTAGAAGTCAGAATCTGACTTGTGATACTCGGTGTTCGAGTTGTTCACCGTTTTTATTTCAGTTGGTTTCATTTGTTTGGGCATGAATCAATTCTGCTTTGCCGGTTTACGTCAAAATCAGACATGTCGATAATTTTGCTTCAAGTATTTTCAGCGAAAATAACAAATGAGCTCCATGGCAACTTTGTCTAATATCCTTTTTTTGCTGCGTATGTCGCGATGACTCGAACACATTTATTATTTACTGTTGTTTGTCGTTGTAACTGAATGAACAACAAACTTGTCATAAACTCTACGATATCCGAGAATTTTTTTTATCCGCCAATGGAATCGAACATGAAAATCCATTGTCGATACATACTTTTCCACTCAAATTAAAAACTCGTAAATGACATGAACAAAAAAGCAAATGTTTGTTCAAAACCAAACGACCCTTGTTATAGCACGTTATCACTCATCAAGCTAATGAAATTCACTTTCAATGGCACTTGATTCAATTTCTTTTGCAGCAAATCGAGTTTACGTTTGAACAGCGTGTCAATTTTACTGGTTCTTGGTTTTTTTGGCGAATAAAAAGTCAATTTTTTGTTGCGTCTCACGATGTAATATAAGTGAATTTTGATAAAAAGGATTACTCATGAGTGGATATGAACATGTTCTGTTTATTTTGTATTGCATTGAGATAGGAAAGAATGAAAATATTAGCTAACGTGATGAGGATGATAGCGAAGGTGAAATGACAATCCTTTGTACTGTGGCGGGTTAAATACGACAGAATATTTTTTGTCGTAATTTTTTGTTCGTATCATTCGTTTTTTCTTCCGGAAGTGAATATTCGGCTAGTGCACAGGAAAATATTTGCATTACTTCTTCTTTCCCGTAATGATTCACAACACGGAAAACTGTTTCCTTTTGAATGGATAAAAAGGCACACGAAGTGACGTGTTTTATCAACAGTATCACTGAAAAAATAAACAAAAGATGCGAGTAAGTGAATTTAGGTTGTTATGTAATAAATTTTTATCGCATTTCGCGCACGGAAAATCTGATAACCGTTTGCTCGGTGGTTGCATTGTTAGAGCGTGTGACGATTATTTTAAGGCGTTGAATATATTCATGTGTGACTTGAAAGCGTTTTCTCCATCAACTTTGCAACTTTGCAACTTTGCCACGATAAATGCGTAGCGTTGAAAATTATTATTTTTTACGGGAAATTGTTCGCAGTAGTTTTGTCAGTGGAAGCTCTTTTCGGTGAAGTATTTCATATCCATGGATAAACGTTGTGATTAAAAAACGAATTCTTGTATAGTTTTACAAAACTTTTACGGTGCGGATGAATTTGATACATACCTTGTGCTAATACAAAAACCTCTCACGGCAGCATTGTTGACAATGCTCCATCATTGAAGCCAAAAATTCTTGAATGGACATAAAAGACGCCACAGTTCTGGGAAACGTGGTTTCATGTCTTTTCGGTATTTAAGCCCAATGAAAGTGAACAACTTTTTTTTAATAGAATGGTTTATTGAACATCCAAATCAACAGTATTAACAAAGCCAACAGCGATAATAGCTTTTGATTAAATACGATCTGTAAACTGTAATCAATTCATTTCACATAAAAGTTTTTGCAACTCTGTAGCCTATTTCACAGAATGTTTTCATGAAAAGTTTTCATGAGATTTTCTTTTCAAGTTTTTTTGGTCAAACAAATATATCTAAATGTAGCAATGAGAAAATCTCAATAAAAACGTGAAAATGTTCTCATTTTTTTGACATTATTTTGAGCGCCAACGAAATTTCGAGATTTTTTCACAAAAATGTGAGATCACATCATGGTTGGCTCAAAAATAAATGAAAATTTAAAATTTGCGCTCGAAATTATGTCAAAAAAATAAGAATATTTTCACGTTTCTATTGAGATTTTCTCATTGCTACATTTAGATACATTTGTTTCACCAAAAAAACTTGAGAAGAAAATCTCATGAAAACTTTTCATGAAAACATTTGGTGAAATAGGCTGCTTTTGCATTGTCTAAAAGCATATATTTCTAAACAAATTCAAGCAGTTTGTTCAGCTATAATTCAAATTTAATTTAAAAATATAGTTCGATTAGAGACACGCCAGGTGGATTCGTGTATCGGCAAATCGACAAGGTTTTATTCTAAAAGATAGGTAAAATACAAAATAATTCTGTTCCAGAGTATGCATTTCAAAATGTATAGGAAAAAGGAAGATCGATTTTGGTGCTTACTAAGAGTATCTTTTGACATCCAAATTTATTGTTAATGCATTATATAACACATTCCCCATAACATTGG